CTCCTCCTCCTTCCCCTCCTCCTCCTCCTGCTGCTGCTGAACTATTGGAAGCTTCACCTCCTCCTCCTCCTCCTCCTCCTCCTCCTCCTCCTCCTCCTCCTCCTCCTACCGGTGCTCTCGCTCCCGCCCACGCCATCGGATCCGTCGGCGCTGCTGCTCTTATCACATTCTTTGCGATCTTCTTCGGATGACAGTCGTACGAGACGTTGTCCACCTGCCATCCCGACAAATCATCGCTCGTCTGCTCCAGCATCAGCGCTGATCCCTGACCGTCCATTCCCAGCTCGCTGGGCTCGATGTAAAAGTTACCGTTGCCTTCGGAGGCGAGAAAAATTTGAATTTTCTGCTTGTCGAACGGGAATTTCTCGAAGGAAAGCGGCGTCGTGAACCAGCCGTGTATCCGTACGGTCCTAGCGACGGCGCTGCTGGTCAAATTGACGTCGATGTTCTCGAGAGCAACCCTGTCTTGGGAAAAATACGCCGCGTTCGACAGGTCGAACCCCGGCAGCCACAGCAGATCGCAGCAGGCCTGTCCGGTGATCTTGCACAGCTTCTGGCAGTCGTTCCCCCCTCCGCCGCCGTCGTCCGCCGCTTGTAAGCTGGCCGTTACGTTGCGCGCCAGCTCTTTGCATTGCTCGGCCGTTAGCTTCTGTGTGTGGCAGGCTTTCATTCTGTCGAGGATGTCCCGCCGTTGCCGCTCCTTGTCGCGCTCCAAAAGGAAAACGGAGCTGGCACGGGGGTCCACCCACGAAATGTGCGCCTCGAAAATTACCTCGAAGCGGTAATTAACCTCATCGACGGAGAGAAGTTTAACCAGGAAGGCAGAGACGAAGACGGGCACGGATTGCTCGTCGGGGTAGGGGAAGCTGCCTTGACCCGTGAGAGGAGATGGCTGCTGCGCGCCGACGAAAGGGACCGAGTAGATCGGACAGAGGAGGGTGAGGACGGAGACGAAAAGCAGAACACTCACCGAAAGTAGGTCGAAAAGATGACCCCGACCCCGACTCAGACCCCGACGACAGCAGACGACCGGTAGCAGCGGCATATTAGTATCGGTATCAGTATCACGTGGCCGGCGGGAGCCGAACGTCGGCGGTGAACATGGGGGTGTGATGAGACCCCCAGAGCATCGGAGCATCATCATTATCACCCAATCACAATGATGATCCGTTTGCTGGCGAGGAGACAGCCACGTGTCAACCATGATGACACCACTCCAAATCAACTCTTCTCTTCGTCTAGATGATGAATGCTCTTCTTCTTCTTCTTCTTCTTCTTCTTCTTCTTCTTCTTCTGCTTCTGCTTCTTCTGCTTCTGCTTTGTGGTTATTGTTGTTCTCTTCTTACCACTATTTCAGTCCGAAAAACTCTCGCCCCCATGCTCCGGCCCAATCCTTATATCACTTGGATTGATTGGTTGATGGATTGGTTGATTGATTTGTTGATTGATTGGTTGATTGATTCGTCGATTGATTGGTTGATTGATTAGTTGGTCGGTGGATGGATGATAGATGTGGAAGGATGGACGAGTCAATCAATAATTGCCGTTGTCCGTCTATTACTAATTAAGAGTGCATTCTGAGATAAGTAACAGCGGCAGCAGCAGCAACACGATAACAAAGACGCCAAACTTCCATATTTCTCTCCCTTACGCTTCCCATACCCTGCGTGTCGCCCATCCACCGCAGCTCCGTTCCACTCGTACTCCTCGTGACAATTACTCTTTTCTTCAGCACCTACACACACTCACTCTGCTGCGCCTCCACTCACATCTCTCTCTCTCTCTCTCTCTCTCGTTTTGTGCGTGTTTCTTCAGCACCTACACACTCACTCTGCTGCGCCTACACACACATACAGAATTCTCTCTCTCTCTCTCTCTCTCTCTCTCTCTCTCTCTCTCTCTCTCTCTCTCTAGTTTTGTGTGTATGTGTGAGAGAGAGAAAGAGAGAGAGAGAGGTTCCGTCAAGTACACCAACTCGATCCCGTATGATTAACAGAATGCGTGGAAGAGAGAATGCCTATCACAGATCAACAGGTGAGAGCAAGTGAGTGGATTCCCCCCTCCCCCTCGCAGGTACGCAAGTATTATATGCCTGAAGGTCGTCGCTAGCCCAATACATTATTTTTACTATTAATAGAACCGATAGTAATAACCTATCAGGAAAATCAATCGGACATAGGGCACGAAGATACGCAAGAGAGAAATCGATAGACAGCTATACATATTAACTATTATTTAAGTAAATTTTAACTTTATTATTATTTAAGTAAATTACTTGCTTTTTTTGTTCTAATCGAAAAAAGAGCTTTTTTTTCTTTTTTCTTTTTTCTTTTTTCTTTTTTCTTTTTTTGAAGCCTAATAGGGAAACAACACGTAGTAACGTAGTACATGCAGTACACACAATTTGCAGAGAAAGTATCTTCCGCTAGAACATGGGAAGATGCACCGTTAATTTTTTTTGAGTAGTGGATAAACGGCCTCGTTTCCGCTACAGTAACTCTCCAAATGTGCAAAATGAGAATGAATCTTCCGCTAGAACATGGGAAGATGCACCGTTAATTTTTTTTGAGTAGTGGATAAACGGCCTCGTTTCCGCTACAGTAACTCTCCAAATGTGCAAAATGAGAATGAATCTTCCGCTAGAACATGGGAAGATGCACCGTTAATTTTTTTTGTCTTTTGTGCAGCTCACGTGAGTAGTGAAACGAGGCCCAAAGAAATTGATAAGAAGCGGATTAAGTGAAAGTTTAACACACATGGCAAAAGAAAGTTAGAGATCAACTGAGGTACCAGTTCCACAAGATATAGACAAATGCAAATGCATGTAGACTGGATGTGGTCCCAGATACCGATCTCAGAAACCGAACAGTACAAAATCGGCGAGAGCACCGCGAGTTTTTCAATTTCGCACTCACAAGGGAGGGAGGAAAAAAAAGAAACATAAAAAAAAAGAAGAGAGAGTGAGGCGAGGGAAAAGGGGAAGGGAAAATGATGAGACACACAGCCAGGGGATTTTGAGTAGATCGACTACTACTAGTAACACCGCGCCCCCCCCCCCCCCCCCCCAACCCCCCCCCCCAAAAAAAAAAAAAAAAAAAAAAAAAAAAAAAAAAAAAAGGTCGATCCTACAGTCTGTTGTTTCAGATCAATTCTGCCACAGAGAGAAAGAACCCAAAACTCCCTCCCTCCCTCCCTCCCTCCCTCCTTCCCTCAATGAGTTTAGTGTAATCTGCCCACTTTCAATTCAAATGACCCTAGGTTTTTTTATTATCTCATAATACGTATAAAGGGATAAATTTGTGGATAAGAAGCATCATCATATCATATCACGTAATGGACCGGATAAATATATCTATTGGCCCATGATACTGATACTTCTTTTACCTCTCGTCTCCCAAGATCATTACAGTACAGTAATTAACTCTTAATCCATTGATTAACCAATCACTTCATTCATTCATCAATCCATTCATTCATTCATTCTTTCTTTCCATCTTTCTTCTAGTCTCCGACTTCGCGGCTTGCCAACGACGTGCCGTTGCTACTATTACTTGATTAACCAATCAAGTAACCAATCAAGTAACCAATCAATTAATTAATCCATTCATGCCCACGTCCAATGTCGCTCTACTCACCCAGCGCAACACCACGAACCCGATCCTAAAAAGTGTAGTTTTCTATATAAACAGCAACCCCCACCCTTACAAAGATCATAGCTGACGACATATCAACATCATCAACATCATCGAAAACATCGAAAACATCGAAAACATCGACAACATCGAAAACATCGAACACACCGGAAACGAGTTCCCTAATCTTCAATCGGCCTATCTTTTCTTATCTTTATCTTATCTTTATCTTATCTTTATCTTACCTTTTATCTGATCTTTTATTTCATCTTAGCTTATCATTTATCTTAGGCGCAAGTACATTCATGTCACTTTCGAGTATCGAATGAGCCCTATGAAAAAACCATGCCCCCTGCAAAGAACACAGGCGCCGAGTTCGACAAGCGCAATAATGAAAGTACCCACGGCCGCCGTGATGTCATAACCACAGAGGGGTGGGCCGGTCGTGTCAGAAGGGGGAAAGAACAAAAAAAAAAAAAAAAAAAAAAAAAGCCCAACGGATTCTTTTCTACCCAAATTGCCCCCCGTTCCACACTCACGCCGTGATATCTTGCCGGCTAGGCACGTGTCTTCTTTCTCCCTTCGTGAACTCGAGAGTCAAAATCAAAACCTCTCCCGCGTCCGCCGTTGCTTCTTATCTTATCTTTTATCTTATCTCTTATCTTTTATCTTATCTCTTATCTTTTATCTTTTATCCTTTTATCTTCTCTCTTCTCTCTTATCTTTCATCTTTAATCTAATCTTTTATCTCTTATCTTTTATCTTCTCTCTTATCTTTTATCTTATCTCTTTTCCTTTCTCTTATATCTGTATATGGACACATGTCACACATCTAAAACATCGGAAGCAAGTCTTAGGACGGAAGGTGATCTCTTAAATCAATCAAAGTCAACGTCTCTTAAATCAATCAAAGTAAACGTTACAGTAGCTTTGATTGATTGTCTTTTATGTAATCTTTTATGTAGATGTATGGAGATGCATTGGAGAACAAGCGGCTTGATAGCATAGAAAGTTCATTGAGTCTTCTTAGAGTTTTCGCATGAAATGTGTGTATCGGTTGGCTCGTTATTTCGCTCGTCGGGTCAACCCTCTTGTGTGAACGGGAGTCGCTCTCGTGGTCAGTGCCGGTCGTCCGTCTTCGCTGCTACATCCGTACGACAATACGTACGAGGAACGGATCGGCGTTGCGTAATCCGTACGGAAGAAAAAAAAAGAAAGATCGCTCTATGTGGTCTTCTCTTATCCGTACAGAAGAAAAAAAAAGAAGATCGCTCTATGTGGTCTTTTCTTACCTTATCATCATCTTCCACTTTCTTGCCTCATTTTCTTTTTTCCATCTTAATCTTCTTATCTCCTTCATCTTCTCTCTTAAGTCTAAGCTTGTGAGCTTATCTAGCACATAAAAAAGGCTGGAAATACACCCCCCCCCTCCCCCCCTTAACCGCCAAAATGATCGAGAAGTCGTACAGTTGACACTCCGATCCGCCCAACAGTCGTGCTACTTCATAATTTTTTGTTCTATAAATAGCTCGCCCAACTTAGTCGCACAGTTTTTGGTTCTATAAATAGCTCGCCTCAACTTAGTCGCACAGTTTTTTGTTCTATAAATAGCTCCCCCCACCCACCCACTCGCTGCGGAGGTGCACTCTCTCTACAAAAAACTTACTCCTGCACTGTGTTCCCCGCGAACGTAAACGTGAACGTGAACGTGAAATAAGTCTTATACGGAAAATGCCAACATATAATTAATGATGATAATGATAACAACAACTAATTCATTTCAAAATTACGCAAGCTTAGGGTGGATTTCTTCCTCTTGCCGGTCTTCCTCCCCTCACTCTCCTCTCCCTTATCTACTAACGACCCTCTTGAAGTCGTGTATCGAGTGATTAACGATCTGATCCATCTTTGGGGATTGATGAACAAATCGACAGAAAGACCATCGGATTCCCTCGGATTCCCGACTAGAGATGCATGTGTACGAAGAGCCAAACGTCAAAGAAACACACCGCTTTAAGTGAAAAAAAATAATAATGAAGAAGCTACTCTTTGTCCGTGCAAGTCGGATCCGTCAGAAAAAAAATGCAAAAAGAAAGACAGTACAACGCGCGCGCAAGAGAGAGAGAG